CACCACCACCACAATCACCGACCTACCATCACCATCACCACCACCACCACTAACCCGTCACTAGCACCACCACCACCGCTGCCGCCGCCATCACTACCACTGACACAATTGCCGCCGCCACCACCATCGCCTGTCATCACCACCACCGCCGCCGACCCGCTACCGTCACCGTCACCGCCCCCACCCACACCCTACCACCGCTACCGTTTTCTAAAAATGAAAACGGGTAGAAAAATACACATCTAAACACGTTTTCTAATTTTCTAAAACTGAAAATGAAAAATGAACAAGTTTAACTAAACGCGTTTTCTAAATTTTTCAATGAAAAATGGAAACGGAAAACGAAAATCGAAAAGGGAAAACAGAAAACGGAAAATGAAAATTGTTTTTCCGTAACTAAACGCAACCTTAGGTATTATTAAGAATTTGGTCTGGATTTATTTTTTTTCAAAATTTCTCCCAACATTTTTTTAACAATTTTGTTTTATATGTTTTCTAAAACGTAGTTTTATTTACAAAGTTATATTTGTACAACTTCTTTTACATCTTTTTTTACAACTTTGTTTTCTATAAAATTTGTTTAAGAAAATAAGTTTTTACAAGTTTTTATGCATATGTAAGATTGCAAAAACACATAAAAATTCCTTTTTTTTTAATCATTTTCACAAATCATAATTGCACTTTTATATATAATTAAACAGAGTCATATTGTAAATTATATATTGCTTATTGTATATATCCAAATTTTTCGCAGAAGCATCATGAGGTTGTACAAACTCTAGTTCATAACATCAATGAACAATCGATAGATATAAACCAAACCAAGAAGGCCTGGTTATACTAAACATAATTAAGAAAAAACCTATATTATACTATAATAATAATATAAATTTTTGAAAGAACAACTTAAAGGTCTAACTGGTTTTTGACCTAACTATTCTAATTGACATTTCAACTATTTGCTTACAAAATTTGTACCCCACACTAACCAGAATAGCAACTAGTAACCAATAATCATTAAAAAAAACAATAGTACCTCAAAATTCTTCTGCATTGGTCTCTTTTTTCCCTTCAGGGGTATCCTTTTCCAAGTATTCTTCTTCAACTGTTTCCTTAAGAATAGAAAGTCTCTGAATAACCATTGGCAAATTCATCTCCTTAGCTTCCATAATCTCTGTTTCCTCTTTATGAAGCTGATATGCATCCAGCATTATAGTAATCCACTTGTGAAGCTCCTTTGGAGTTCTGTAATAAAATATAACATCCTCAATTCATACATAATCTTGAAAATTCAATTTCACAGTTAAATAAATAAATTAAAATTAGAGTCAATTTACGTGTATATTGCATTGGGATCCTTGGCCTCATCATCTTTTCCAGGAGAAAATGCAGTTGCTAAAGCTGAAAATCGTTCTTCTGGATCCGTGAAATTAAGCAGATACTTTAGTAGCTTTATTTCTTTTGGTGCTATGCTCTTTAAACTACTCTTTGTTGCTTTATATAACTCATACATTATCGCTTTCACCTTCAAAAGTAAAAAATCTTTCAATTTCATGTTAAATAAAGCTGTTTGAATATAAAAAGTTAGGATTTTTACCTCATTTTTCATGGTGGGGGAGTCTTTTGCAGAAGCCCAAGCGCTATTAATTAACAAAATTAAAGAGGAATCAAGTTCTTTTGCTTTCGCAAGGCTTTTGATTTTAGCACATGCTGCTTCAATGGAAGGTGAGTTTAAAATATCATCAAATTTGGCCTGAGCATCATCAAATGACTCCATTGTTTCCAATGTGTTGTCGTATGCACTCACTGCAGATAAGCATCGAGCTCCAAGCCTTGCAATGGCTGCTTAAAAAGAAGTGAGATGAAATCAGAAATGGATATGAAAAAGTTTAGAAAATTGAATATGATGTTTTAAGATATTATCACCATCACGATCTTCTAAGTTATCATGAGTTTCTTGAACTACTGTTAAGTAACGAAAGAATTCTCCTGTGAAAGCCTTGCGACGCTTTGTAACTATGGCGTTTATGTCCATTGGGCTGTCTTCTATCTGCTTAAGAAGTTCGGAATGTCTTTCCATTTCATCATCAACCTGTAATTTTTTTTTCAGGAATCAATCAAGAACATGAAATTTAAGTGCTGGTAAAGAAATTTTACCTTTTTGACTTCTGTTGCCAATGTGATCAAACTTTGCTTTAATGTGAAATCGTTTTCTGTATCTGCACGTGATTTACACCGATTGTAGAAGTTGTCTCTGTATTTATTCCAATCTTCTCTGAAAATCAAGTAACTCATCCAGTCTTTGGGCTTGGGTTTCTCATTCAAGAACAGATCAATGATCTTATCAACAAATTTAGTCATTGTATATCCTTCAGCGAGTTCAACTTCTTGGTCCTCCTCAAGTTGTGCAGTACTCGAATTGCTACATGAAGTCTCTATATAGAAAAAAAGCAAACAAAATCAATCTCTAATACTCGCTCTAATCAAGAGAAGAAAAGGAAAATAAGCGATAATTTTCAAGTTTTGAATCGAATTCCTCCAATATCCAAGGGGAAAACCGTGTAATTCCTTTGAATATCTATTTCACAGATAACACCAATTCTTCGAAGAACTCAATAAGGATCCCTTAAGTTTTCGAGGTTCCATACATATATCAGATACAATAAGAACAGCATAGCAAATCCATATCAAAGTTCGAAATGAAGCGGAGTAAGTTGAGAAAACGTGAAAACTTACTGGATGTTTGAAATTTGTTGAATTTGGTAGTTGGGGGTTTATGGGATTTGAAGGATAAGATGAGAATGGGGAAGGATTTAGGGGTAGCTAAAAGGAATTCGCTACTGAACGGAAGGACTGGGGAGTTGAAGACAAAAGGCTTTGTGGCACCGGCGATGGTGGAGATCGGAGCTTCGAAACCCGTCAAGTTACTCATGTTCTTTCAGTTTTGTTGCTCACCTGAGTGCGAGAAATATCTGGATAATTGAAACATTCGTAAAACCTCTTTAAAACCCAACGTTTGTTTTTCATTTCCCATTTTGCCCTCGTAAGATTTATGTTTAAAAGGTTATTATTATAACACTTTATATTTTTATATTTTTCTCTTTAAATGTATATATAATTTTTAATAAAATCCTTTAGATTTTTCAATGTCAAAGGAAACATAAGATTGTTTTCAGAAAAAAAAGGTTGTTGTATCCTATTTTAACAGCAAAAAATACATATCGAAATCTATTTGTAAGACACTCAGAAATTATAATTGACATAACATATTTCTTTCGAACTCTAATCTATGTTTGAAAACCTAATTTCAGCTTTCACTAAACTTTTTCATATCGAAAGTCGTACAAATAAGACGATAATAACATAGTCAACAAAATTCTTATGCATTGATTATTATTCATTTTCAAATTAACAAAAATAAAACCTATAGTCTCCAAATTAATGGGTACATAACCATTTGTGATACGATTGTGTACAAGTTAAAATATGCATAACTTCGAATCTCTAAATTAGAAGACACAAAAACCATTTGTGATACAATTCCCATTAAGTTAGCATATGTAGAACCTTCACTTCTTAAATTAGCAAGCACGGACACAATCAAACCTCTATATTCCTCCATCAATAACACAATAAACAACATTAGCAATAAGAACAAAAGAATTATGGATCAAAACGAAAAAAAGTTTGCCAAGTATGAGGGTTTTTCATAGTTTTTGTAGGGTTTTTTCAAATAAAAAAAACTTGTCAATTAACGGTAAACCTCTTAATGGGGGACAAAATGGAAAATTGAAAAATATGATTGTTTTTTCAAAAAGTAAAAAATCAATTTTAAATAGAAAATATATGAAAATATAATATCTTTTATAATGATAACTAAAGAATATTGTTTGTTTTCAATTTTAAATAGAAAATATATGAAAATATAATATAAAACTAGATATTAGGAAATTATGTAATATGAAATTAAAAACTAGAAACTTCATTTTACATTAAAATAAAAATACATAACATTCAATTAAAATCTAAGAAACATTATAATAAACATAAAAATTACGTATTACATTTGACGTCATTTTGTACACCCTTGACAATACTCCAAAACTCTATATAGCATAAAGTTTTTCAGTTTTCTTGGTGGAAAATTTCAAGAACAATGCTTAAAATCAGTGCATCATTTTTACCATTTTCCAATCACATTTCACTTTATTAAACAGTGTCAAACTCCATTACTACTTTTTTCGTGTACCTTCAATTTATGTAGATTTGATATTTCTTTATGTAGTAACCACAGTTCATTCCGTTGAGGAAACGTTCGATGACTTTTGTCCAAAAAGTTGAAACATTTTCGTTGATGTCGACCCTCGGGTCCTCCGATACATTAACCAATGCACGACTAAAGCCCCCTCTTCTATCGGGCTCCAAGGTACAATCAAGGTCTTCCCTTTATTAGTGGAATTGGGTTGATCATTTGAAGAAGACATTTTGCAAAGATAAAATTGAGAGAGGTCCGATGAGTGTTGAGGTTCGAATGAAATAAGATTAATAATGATGGTTTGAGAATGGTAGGAAATGAAGATAGTTGTGGTACTTGAAGGTTGTTGCTTTTCCACATAGTTTTTACCATTTTACTCTGATTCCCTCCATTCACACAACTTTCTTGGTTGTAGTATTTTTTCTTTAATCACACAACTCTTTATTTTCTCTCCATTGTGGTTGAGCACGTCTCTTTTTTGGTGGAACATAATTTGTTTCTCCCTTTAAAACTCTCAGCATATGCCAATCGCATTGCAAACTTGTCATGCCATATTATGTCTTGCCCAATATAAAACATAGTTGGAACTTGGAACACAACAAAATGCATAAAAAATAACAATAAGTAGACTTCTTCATTTCTAGCATTACTAAATATAAGAGCCTACTACAAAGTACAAACCACTTACCTCTTTCACTTCTCAATTGCTAACAAAAAAGATCACATTATAACAGTGTAAATTACAACAAGATCCAAGATCTTGTCTAAAATTTTCAAGGATCATTCAACCACGGTTAACAACAGGTGGCTTCTTCCTACGACTCCCAGATGAACTCCGCCTCCAAAGAACCTGTTCATCAATGGCAGTCAACTTTTCATCATCAAGCCTCTTCCATGTTCTAATACTCTTCACAGTTTCATCCTTCCCTAAAGAAACCACCACCACCCTCGCCCTTCTTGACCACCCTGCCTTCCCATATGCATGATACCCAAACCCTCCACCATAACAAAGATGAATCCCACTCAACTTCCCACAAAAATCATTCAAATGATCATGTCCAGTGAAAACACCCTTCACATCACCTGTCTCAACTAAAGTTGTAAAGAACCCTGAGTTCACAGAAGCAGAACTTATCCCTTCTTGTCTCACACCCGTAAAGTTTGACTTGTCAAACCGTGCATACTCTGGTAATGGGATGTGAAAATACGCAAGTCCAGGTGCTTTTGATGTCTTTTGAAGCTTTCTAGATGTTTCTTGAAACCAAACCTGTTGAGATGGTTTGATCCATCCGTATCCAGGGATTGAAGATACTGTGGAGTAATCGCCACTATCAAGAAAGTATAAGTTGAGAATCGATTTGTTCATTGAACTTGTTCCTTCAGCTCCATGGACTTCAAGATTGTAATTCCCAAAACCATCTATGACTTGAATACCTTCAGGATTGAATTGAGATAATGTGTTCTTCATTGTAACAATATGTTTCATGACACCTGCTCTTGATAAGGTTGATTCTTGATCGTGGTTGCCTAAAACTGCAGCCCATGGGATGTTTGATGAGATTGCAGGGGCAAAGGCTGCGTTCATGGAGGATGCTGCATCTGTTGCATCAAATCCGTAGATGTTGTCCCCTGTGAAAACAATGAGGTCGGGTTTTTCAGCTTTGATCATTCGGTTGATGAAGACACTGGTGTTGAGATCAGAGCAATGGAAAAGCTGGTTGGGCAAGACATCTTCACATGGAGTCTTTCTGCCATCGGCATAGTGCATGTCAGCCACCTGTAGAACCTTAAACTCGCCCTTCTTTTTATCAAATCGTAGCTGTTTTCTAGTTCTACCATTAGAGGACCTTCGTGTTCTCTGAGTGTTGACTGTGATAAAACTTGAAAGGAAGCAGAGTACAACGAATACAATCAACAGAAATTTCGCCATCTTGAAGGGAACGAATGAAGTTTCGGTTATTTAGAAGGTGGATGAATGGTTCTTCAAAGCGAATATGTTGAAAATATCGCAGTATTCCTAAAATTCACGTTGAATTGTTTAATATCAAGCCAGATCTTCTGTTTTGATTCAAAGATGCTTTAAATTTACTACAAAACGATGATAAATAGTTGTAGGATTTCCTTTAACTAGAAAAAAAAAACGAACACGTTTGTGAAAAATGAGACGAGTATCTACTGACTCATATTAAAAAAACAAATCACAATCAAACAGGGAAATCTCTAACTGTTGTGTCTTTTGACAATAAAAATTGAGCGACTCTGAAGATCACATCCAAGTATGAAAACTGCAGAGTCAGCTTTCCTTTACTCTAGGGTTTCAGATCCTAAAAGAGAAGCGAGATAAGAAGAGGACGACGAGAATAAGAAGAATCATACCTTAAGGAAGCGGAGGCATCGGTGGTGATGGAATACGCCGGAGCTCAAACTAGTGGAGGAGACACTCTAGAGTCTAGTCTACGGCCAGTAGTCTGGTAAAAGTAGGAGTAAAATTTGAAAGAGAAACACCTACGAAAGAGAGAAAGACAATGATGGCGGTGTTTGGATATGGGCTTTTCGGTTTATTTTGACGTTACAATAAATATTTTTTGGAACAAAATTAGTTATCTAATGAAAGAAAAAAAATGGAATTAACCTTAAATAAAAATGAAATCAATATATTAACGTTTATATTGTAAGAAATAAAGTATTCAAGATAAAAGTCATGGAGTAATATTTATGAGGATTATAAGTTTACAACAACTAATCTGGATATTGGGCCCGCGAATTAAATTACAACCGTTGAATTTACGGTTGACTTGTTCAAAGGTTTCTTGTTTTGGAAACGGCATCAGACATTATCGAGAGACAAATGCAACTGTGGGGCATGTGGGCAAATGAGTGAGTATTCAAACTCAAAGCTCAGGATAGGGTGGGAATTAAATTCAATAGACAATGAACAATCTCTTTGTTAGGTAAGAATTAAAAACTAGGGACTAAATTGTTCCCAGGTTTACCGGAAATTGTCATTTTAATCCAAAAAGTTTTGGACTAGCACTAGAGGTCTAAAGTTTTTATTTTGTTGTGAGTTTGGTTCAATTTACTTTAAAATTTTATGTATTGACGATTTTACCCTTGTTTTTTCTATTTTTTCAGTTTTTTATTTAAATATTTTTATGATTAAAAGAAAAATAAAAAATACCTCTCTCTCTCTCTAAATATCACCACCACCCAGGGGAGGAACACAAGCACTAAAATGAGGGGGCCGGAACCAAAACTACAAAATAAAATAGTATAAACAAATTTAATTTTATTTAAATTGTAGCATGTTATAGAACCCTTATACTTTTTTGTTTATTAATCGATTTCTAACAATTACCAACTAGATTTTTGAGTCTAGTTGAATTAATAATCGACAATTAGGTTTACAAATCTTAATTAATTTTTTAATATTTTCTTATTGAGAAAAGACCCTCATAAATTTTTTCATAATTTTTTTCTAAACAGTTTTTTAATATATTTTTATAATCTCCTCAAATCATATATACATTAAACAATAACACAAGATAGATATTAAAAAAAAAAGTGAACATAACAAAATGGTTTATACATGTTTTACTAAAGACATTTTACTATCTTATATTTCTAAAAAAATATTAACAATATTTCCACTTATCACAAACCTATTCAAAGAAAAAGTCAAAAGCTAATATAGGATGCACAGGGTATTTTTCTTTTGTTTAATAGAAAAAGCAATTCATATATAGGGATAAAAACATTTTAAAAGCTACTTTTGGATTTTGTATATAAGGAAAACTGACTTTTTGGAAAAATCAGGAAAACCTGACTTTTTGCAACTTTTCCTATAATGAGTTTTGGCCTCTCAAAAGATAAGCCAAACACCCCCATAGATACACACGCAATATGTTGTACTCTTTGACTCACCTTAACATCGCTATACAATAATAAAACCTTAAATCAGCCAACGAGAAGGAACAAGTATGTATTGTGGACTTACAAGTAAGTGAGGTTGCAAAGGTTAACAAAAAACTAGTACACATCTGAGTCGCAGAGATCGGAGCTCGCATATGATGACGAGATCGACGAAGAAATCGACATTGACGGAGAGGAAGAGAAGAGTGGCGCTTCAGTTACATTCTTTTGAGACTTCTTAGTTCTCTCTCTTTTTTTCTTTTTTTCTTTTATGGTTATCAAATAGTTTAAAATTTCATAATTTATTTTTGGTGTATCCGTTTCCTTCATATTAGGATTTTTAGTTATTCACAAAAATTCTTGTTTGTATTTTTCTGGTGTCCTGTTCATTTTAAGTCTCTCCAAAGCTTCATTTTTTTAATATGCAAGAAATAATTTAAATCTATGTATAAACAAGTATAAGTAGGCTGAAAAGCGGGGAGGCCATGGCCCCCTCTGGCCCTTAAAGGGATCCGCCCCTGCCACCACCCCTATCATCTTCCCCAAGACACATACCCATCATCTTCCTCACACACACACACACACACTCACTGAAAAAAAGGCAGCCCCTTTCCTTTTTCTACCCTCCATTCTCATACCTCAAAACAAAAATCAAAATCGATTTGTGTTCTCGGATTGAAATCAAAATCGATTTGTGTTATGAGATGCTGGAAAAACAAGAAGATCCGACATTGAAGATTTAAGGTGGGTTGTAGTTGACTTTCAGGTAGGTCTTTTGGTTCCTTCGTCTTTCCTTCTTGACCGCCTTTTTCTCCTCTTTCCTTGGATTTAGTTGTTGTTCGTTTTCATGGAGGGTATCCTCCATATCTGAATCTCAATGTTTTTACATTGAAAGGGGAAATAAGTACAAAATCGACTGTTGGCTCAAAATTGGTTCCTGTTGACGCCTCTAACCATCATTTTGACCCTTTACAACCTAAATCGGTTTCATTACTTGTCAAAAAGATTGATATAAAAGAGAAATTCCCAGAAAACCGATTTTCGAGTTTGAAGGGTAGTGCAACTTTGATAAATCCGGTTCTAGTTCGTCGACTCATGTCCCTTTTGTTGTTGATGTTGTTATGGATGAGCTTCCTGACCCTTCTCGTAACATTATTAAGCTGGTGGATTTTTCTAATGTGGAATCTGGTACCCCTATGCAGCTATGCTCAAATTTAAAAGGGATATTGCCCAAATTTGCAATCCCGATGAGAAGGAAGCTATGATGATATCCAAGAACAATCTCACTGTAAAGGATCGGTGTTACCAATCAGTAGCGTTAGTGATGTTCATGTCTTCGGCTGATGATCATGGTGGTCGTATTTTTTTGCATGTGAAAACCAGGTGGAAGATATGAACCGTGTAGGAGAGAAAAAGAGAGAGAGAGAGAGAGAGAGAGAGAGAAGTATTTTTTTATTTTTCTTTTAATCATAAAAATGTTTAAATAAATAGAAAAAACTAAAAAAGCAAAAAAATAAGGGTAAAATCATCATTATAAAAAAGTTTAAAGTAAATTAGACCAAACTTGCAACAAAATGAAAAACTTTGGACCAGTGGTGCTAGTCCAAACATTTTTGAACCAAAGTGGTAATTTTCGGCAAACCACAAGGACCATTTATGCAGTTTAGTCAAAACTAGGACAAGTTGGGGCTTCGTCGACATTTTTTTTTGCTATAAAAGTAGGACTAAAAGATCAACAAAAACAATAACATGAAACAACGATGTATTATTTTTTTCGGGTCAAACTTAAACTTCCCCAAATGTTGTTACCAACAACTTTTAACAGAATTAAACATTTTTCAATTTCAGATTCAGATATCAGTCAACAAAGCAACTGATAATGATTATTTGTTAAACAAATGTTGTTAAACTAATCAAATAAACCATGAAACAGAAGCATGTCCTCCTGTCGTTGACCACTTTTTAGCTCATGTATGACATTGGACAGATGAGATTGTTGATCTTGAGCTCAACAAAACAACCATGATGCACAGAAACAGGCAAAAAACCGACATCGGTAAACATTGGAATGCATATTTCCAGAGTTCGATCTAACCTTACTTTGATTTTGGTCTTTATCCGAACTCAATGAGAGAACAATGTCCAAATGACCATTCTTGCCCAAAGACCAGTCCTGTAACGTGTTGGATTTTTCATAGGGCTCGAACATGTATAAATAACTCTACTTGTAATGAGAAGTTTACCAATTGATTCCAAAATTCTATTAATATTTACCATAATGGCTTTTACTCAGCCTTTGTGTTCCATGAACTTAGCATGTGTAGATGTAGATTAATACATGACTTTCATATGCTCGTAAATGATGCTATATTGTATATTAAAACATCAATTTTATACCCCATGTTGATGTAGTATTGCTAATTCATCAAACAATTTAATTTATTTAATTTATATGTATGAAGTTAATTCGAATTTAGAACCCTCTTGAAACGAAAAAACACAGTAATTTAGGCATGTTTAATTAAAAGAATCCAATAAGTAGACAATGATTGAACCAAACTATAAATTAGAACAAAATATATAAAATATGAATGTCTTTTTGTACATTCAAAATAACCAAAATGGATCAAGATCATAATTAAAGTAAATGACCATTTTATCCTTCTATATAGAAGGGTTGTACTAATCGATTATGCATTGGCAAAACTGAAAACAAAACAAAGGGCAACAAAAACATTTGTTAAGGGCATAAATTTAAGAAAAGCATCAAACTTGTTTAAACATATGTGGATTTGTATCTGGCAAGGTCCAGCTTCAAATGTAACGCTCCAAAAATTTCAACCAATTTAAACTTTTCAAAAACAACCCATATTCATTAAGTTATTACAAAAAGGTTT